GACCCCCTGTATTCGTGTTGGTAATGCACCCGCCGCTGCAGACCTTATTAAGCCAGGTCTTAAATCCACTTAGCTCTTGGTTATGAGTTCTTTTCCCACGCCTACTTTTTGACAGCCGACGTCCTCCGAAACGTTTTTGCCGTACGGAATCGCTTGTCCAAAGTTGGGGTCAGTACAATTTTGCCGTTCATCACGTTTATGCATGCACCAGTTGAGGAGGGTAGCCATTTTTCCTGAACACTCCCTGAAGATATTGCGGTTGGGCAACTTTGTCCTCCGGTTCACCGCATTGCGCCTCAACTCGCCGATAAGGTATCCTTACGCAACTACGTTTGTGGCTAAATCGGAAGACAAACTTGCCAACCTGCAATATCTTCGTTCTCCGTCTGAACCAGTCAATAATCTGATGTAGGAATTAGACGGAATAGCTAATGGAGCTAAACAGCCCGTAGTGGCCCCTAACAGTCACTTGGAACCCACCATCAGCCGCTGACGCATGACGCCTTTGGCCCGTGCGTCCACGCCAGTCTTCGCCCATATCAAGGTCGCGCCTCCCGCTACTCTAGACATTAACCGCGTGATTGGCTGTCGTAACAAAGCATGCGCTGAGATTCCGGCGATTCCTGACGCTCTCGTCACTTGGACGCGGCTGGCTCTCCTGGCTTGTCGTAAGCTTTCCAAGTCAAATATCTGTCCATCTATACTTCGTTCCTCTGTATGCACAATATACTGTTCCTACCACTCTGGCCTTCATCGACTTCTTTTCTCTACTAAGTAACCATGGTCTGAAGATCGCAATTGCTAGGGGTTAACTTACTTAACCTCCTGCGTTAAGCCCGTCAATGTGCATCACATACGACCTGCCTCTTGCAACACACGATTGATGTTTTGCACACACGGCGATGGAAAGCTTTCATTAAACAGCAGCAGCAGCAGCAGGAGCAAAAATTCTCATAAACAACCTGGAGAAATAGCAATGCTTAGAGTGTGCAGAATGGGATATTATACTGATAATCGGGTTAATTAATTCATATTCGAAGTTGCTCTTTCGAGAGACGGTTAAGAAGTTCAGCGTCTCTCTGCGGGTTATGCAAATTTCCGATGTGAATTAAGAACAGCTCCCTGTTGCATTGGTCCCTGACACAGACATATTTTCATAGCACCTAGTAGATCCACTTCTTTTCTCATTTTGTTCCCTTGCCCTCTCTCTACTTGGTTTCCGTCGCCCTTTCTCCTGTCACGTAGTGTAGCGATCCGTGCGTGTGTCTAGGGGAAACATCTGAACCATTAACGAGAATTTGAACTATTGACAGAAATTGACTGACTTCAGGCAAGTTGTCATGCTCTAGCGCCACCCAGTCTGTCTACAGCGTCTCCCTGTATCCCTCATGTTACAGCGACCGCCACTGCAGACCTTCTTAAGCCACGTCTTTTAGCTTTGCGTCAATCCTACAGGTCTACTGTCTGCCAATCTCTTTTCCCTGTCACAGTCGAGGTGGTTGTAAAAACATCCTCCCCCCGGGCTGCCTACTGCATCGAACTAAGCATTTTATTGTTCGTGGCGGCCATGCACAGTCTGCATTTAGGAGCGACCGATTTCGAATTATCAAGCATCCTGCGTTTCTCCCTTCCCGAGTTTCACTTAATGGAGTTGCGCCATTTCGGCAAGCCGTACGGAACCCCTTTAGCTTTCTCTAAATGTTTTTTCCAACGCGCTATCTGTTTTAAAACACCTTTGGCCCCCTCCCTCTCCCCTTCTTCAGTGCAAGGTAGGTAACCGTCTGCCAGAGAAGACAAGAGCAGCTGATATCCGCAGTGTTTGATTTTTTGTTCTTCTTCTACATCCCTCTTCCTCCCTTCTCGTAATTAACTCCGCCTCATCCTTTCTCGCTTGAGGTGAGCGTGTAGAACACTCTGTTTATCCTTCTCTTCTTCCTCTGCCACCTAAGCAAGAGAGTTGTTCTCTAGTGCATTTCTAATTTTTGGCAAAATGTACGCAGTATTCATCTTGACTGAAGCAGAGAGAGAGCATTGCCTAAAGTTGGGTTGTAGTGAATGCAGTAGAGCGGAACTTTTGTCTCTGTACCTGTCATATCCCCTATTTGGAACAATATTTGACGAGACGGACTTTCGAAGATGGCAAACTCAGGTAGGGAGAAAATAGTTCCCAGTAGAAGAAAACAAACTATTCATCGGTCGACCTTCCGGACTTATTCTAGATGCCTCCACCTTGTTTCAAAAGATGAGACACGTGTTATTGTCGCGCTGGAATTCCGAGTGAAATGCACTTTGTGTTGTGGGCGCATTGTTACCGTGAATAATACATTAAATGACTGATCTTTGCTCATCTCCAACTTCCATTCGAAGAGCACTCAGGAGGCGCAAAATATAACAAATAGGAAAATGAGATAGTGAGAAAATGAGAGTCCTTGAACTGAATAACACTGTAAATCTCTCAACTTCGAGGCAGTTGCTCTGAGTTATTGGACAAAGACACCATCTCGGCGCATGTTTTACAATTTGCACAGCGAACGTGAAGAAGTGGAAAATAAGGTACCCTGCCGCCGTTGAGTCAGCGTATGCCACTGATATATGCCTGTTAGGTTTTTATACGAAACGCAGCCCAGTAATACGACGGGGCGAGAACTGCTGGAGGCCTGGGTGTCAGGCTCCAACTCCATCAACAGACACTCAAATATACCGCTTTGTTCTATTGCCCTCCGTGCGCGCGACCAATAACCACGGCCCAGTTCATGTCCAGACACGCAAACTGCCACGTTGAGGACGCATGCCGAGACGAGACAGGAGACGACTTGAGTGTGGACTCAACCAATCAAGAATGCTACCCCCGTCTCCCCCATCCCCTCGAAGCTGGACTACAAAACATTCCAATGCTTGTTGTTTTCTCATGCTCTGACGATGGCCTCATGTACGAAGCCGAAAGCTCAAGCTAATACAAGTGTTGTCCCAATGGTCGAGCCTTTTTTTCTTTACAACAGCTCAGTTTATTTATAGAAATTGAAGTTAACCAAAATCGCAGTCAGGGGGGGGGGGAGAGCGGAGGATTGAGCTTGCTGTTGCGTGTTTCATGCTTTCATTGGTTTCCTACCAACGCCTGGAGCTCAATGACAATTTGTGCGACTCAGCTGCACCATCATGCAGGAGCCGTCATTGCTCGAGATCCACCTACTCACATTATACCTCAGGTTAATCCAGGATGAATGGGGAGTAAGGTGTCTGTACGGGCATTTCAGAATCTTACTTCACAAAAAATAGGAATGGCGCCGGATCCAATCACTGGTTTACCCAGTGGCATGAAGTAATGGGCATCAAACGCTCGTGCGAGCTGACTAACTAACACAGTTGTCACATAAGCTTGTAATACAAGCGCAATCGGTGTCCAAATTAGTAGGAACTGTCAGGTATTTGTTGTCGGCTATTGCGGTCTTGTAGCCCCCCACTTCACGTGGCTGCTATCAGATGCGCAAGCACCAGTGCCTGCATTCCCCGGTCTGGTCAGTTATCTCCCTGTGGCTGACTTACAACGCTGTGATGACTCCCACACTGGGCCCCTCGCGGGTGGTTGTGCACTCGTCCAACAGTCGACTTCCTAATGCCTCTTATTTACTAGTTTTGTACGCGATACCCTATCCGTCAAACCTGACCTCTCACTTCTTCTCTTTCCACAGCGAACCAAGGTCCAAGGATCGCAGCGGCAGGGGTTTAACCTAAAAATTGGAAGGCAGGCGTCCCAAGAAACGTAATTTTAAGCAAAGGCTGCAAGATAACCAGTATTGACACCGTACTTAATGCTGTTTTGTGAGTGATTATCAGTCTATCGAAAATTGCGGTATTTTGCTTGCAGCACTCGCCATACTGTACATAGAGGTTATGTAGAGTCGATAAAGAGATGAGTACCTGCTGGGAAGCCGAGGAGAGCGTTCCACTGGGTGAGGAACCACCGCCAACAGCAACCGGCGGCGTGGAGGGTGAAGAGGAGGCGGAGGCGGCGACAGCGGCGGAGGTTGGAGAGG